TCTATCTCGTTTATTCATAAATTCTTCTCCTATCCATAATTCTAATAGGCAATATGTTCCATGTTTTTCTAATTCAATGATACCTTCCTTTATATCTAGGTCACGTATCCATTTTGACCTTATCTTGGTAAATGGCGTAATATATTGGTTTATACTCATTTTCTGCAAGACTGCTTTCTAGTTTGTCCAACAATTTTTTTAACCAAATAGTGAATTCTTATCTCAAAAGCTTAAATCTTTACATTTGTCAAACATAAGGTTACAATAATCATTTATTACTGTGTATTGCATATCTACTCCACTTGACTGATACACCTTTCTATTTCTTAGCCAGTACCAGATAATTAATGCCTAATAATATTCAAACTCTATTGCAGAGAGCGCAACTATGATGGACTGGCCATGTTGCTTGGATGCCAAATATATGCTTACCAAAAAGACAATTTTATGGAGAACTCATACAAGGCAAGTGCTCACATGATGGCGAAAAGAAGTGACACAAGGACACTCTCAAGGTCTCTCTCAAGAACTTTGGAATTGATTATGTGAAAGAGGAGACACTGGCACAGGACCACCCAGCATGGCATATCCTCATCAGAGAAGGTGCTGTGCTCTATGAGCAAAGCAGAATTGAAGTAGCTCAAAATAAATGCAAAATGTGCAAATTTGGAGAACCTACCCTAAATGTTCATACGGACTATTTGTGCCTGACCTGTGGTAAAGCACTCTGAGTTCATATTGCTCTGATCAGCCACAGACACACTGTAACTTGACTTTAGCATAGTGGTGTCATTTTGGTCCTCTTTGAGAATGAAGGACAACACCAACAACATACTTTAAGATCTGGTATTGCTAAACCTCCTTCCTTTACATTTTTTTCATTAATTCCTTTGATATTCTTGACCTTTTGCTCTTCCAAATGAATTTTGTTATTCTTGTCATTTCTTTTAATTCAACAGTATTCCATCACAACTATATACCACAACTTGTTCAGCCAAGAACTGCTATAAATATTTTTGTACATATAGGTCCTTTTCCTTTTTCTTTGAGATACAGATCTACTAGTGGTATTGGTGGGTCAAAGGGTATGCAGTTTTATAGCCCTTTGGACATAGTTCCAAATTGCTCTCTAGAATGACTGGATCGGTTCACAATTCCATCAGTACATTTGTGCCTTGATTTTTCCACACCCCCTCATCTCATTTAGTCTTCACAACAACTCTGAGAGGTAGGTGCTATCATTATCCTCATTTTATAACTGAGGAAACTGAGGCAGACATAGGGTAAGCAACTTACTCAGGATCACGGACAAAGTGCCTAAGGCCAAATTTGAAATCAAGTCTTCCTGACTCCAGGCTCCTTGCTCTATCCACTGTGCTACCTAGCTGCTTCTCATAATAAAACTATTGTCATGTTGCAGTGAAGGACTAGTTGAAATAAGATCACATAAATTTGTAGTCACTTAAGATGGCATAGTTACATGACCTTTTCCAGCATCACACAAGTAGGTAAGGAGAAAGTGGACAGTAAAGGTAACTCAAGACTGGGGCTTGGTAAAGGATGAAAACTGATAGGATAAGGGATTTAAGGGCAGAGGACAATGTATACTTCATTTGTCAGTCATTGGGCCAACACTGTGAATGGAGGAAAGTGATGTCAGAACACAGATAAAAGACTGGGAGGATGGTGAAGGAAGAAAGATCAATTAACCAACAAGCATTTACTAAGTGCCTACTATACGCAAGACATTGAATTAGGCAGTAGGAATTCAAATACAAAGAATGAAATAATTCCTACTCACAAGGAACTTATATTTTAATCAGGGTGACAAGAACATATGACAATATGTACAGAAAAATGAGAAGTTAATAGATATAAATATCAATAAAACAGCTAATAAAGTATAGTTTAGGAAGGAAAGCACTCTCGATTGGGGGGAATCAGGAAATGATTCATATCGAAGCAGGTGCTTGATCAGTACCTTAAAGGAAGAGAGGAAACCTATGAGGCAAAGGTAAAGAAAAATTGCAATCTAGGCACATGTTATGGCTAATGCAAAGGTATGGAGATTGGAGAGAGAGTGTTGTATGTGAGGAATAGAATCTGAGTCAGAGTACTATGGAGAATAATATTGAAAGAATCTAGAAAGATAGCTTGGGGACGGGTTATGAAGGATTTAAAAAGCTAAACAGAGGAGTTTGTATTTAATCCCAGAGGCAATAGGAAGCGACTGCAGTTGATTGAGAGAAATAATCATGTATTAATAACTAATTATTGAATTAGGACCAAAGTTTTTCCCATTTCCTGCTGCTTTATTCAGAAATCAGCCCCTGTTGGTTATTTAGGTAGCTTTCTAAGCACATGGCTGACACTGAGAGGGAAAACTCAGATCTGTTCAAAATGTAAAGAAATTTTAGTTTAAGTGAATTGATGGATTCTGGTCCATTGTGTTTTACTCAGATATGTCTGGGAAACATGGATTCTCCCTCTTGTCAGATGAGTAATATGGATACAGATAATTCTCTTTGACCAAAACTGAGCAATCAGTCATGTCCCCTAACCCCTCAATAGTAGAATAAGCTCAACTCTCCTTATAAAATTCATTCTTCTCATTATTTGTTAACCATAGTTGATTTCCACCCTCAATTGCATGCCCCTTTTCCAAAGGTTTTGTAAGTACTGAAGGTTTCACAGGCTAAGTCTTTTTGGTCATTGAGAGGACAAATGAGCCCTTTTCGTTAAGCTACTTCCTAGCAGTGGTTGATAAAATTGATTATAATTTACCCAGAAACTCTTGTCTCTTGAAAATTTTTACTTGTAGCAAGTAGGAGAGTCACTTGGTCAGATAAACTTTTTTTTTTTTTTTGTGAGGCAACTGGGGTTAAGTGACTGCCCAGAATCACCCAGCTAGTGAGTGTTATGTGTCTGAGGCCAGATTTGAGCTCAGGTCCTCCTGATTCCAGGGCCGGTGCTCTATCCATTGCACCACCTAGCTGCCCGCAGATCTACTTCTAAGGAAAATTATTTTGGCAACAGTACGTAGGATGGACTGCAGTGGGGAGATACTTGATGCACAGAAGAGGCTGTTACAATAATCTTGGCAAGAGGTGATGAGGGTCTGGCCTAAGGTGGTAACTGTGAGAATAGTTGAAGGGGCCAAATATGAGATGTTAAGGTAGAAAAAGCAAGATTTTGTAATTGAATGGACATGTGGGGTGAGGGAGCATGAAGATAATGTCAAGTTTATGAGCCTGGGGGACTGGAAGGGTAGTGGTGCCTTTGACAGAAATAGGGAGGCTGAGAAGTGTGAGAGAGAATTTGTAATGAACACAAAGGACTGATTTAGGAAGATTGAGGCAGAATTAGAGATCGAATGGTAGGAGAGTTCAATATCACAGGAGGAACATCTCTGAGTGATGGTGGAATCTCCAATATAGTCATCCCTGAGGGTAGCAGAAGTGAAGTGATGATGCTGGTCATAGGAGGTAAAGAAGTCAATGAACTGAGATGCCAGGGACCTCAGTACAAAGGGACATCAGCACAGGTGTTTAATTTTCCGACTATCAGTTCAGAGATGGGGATGTGGAGAATGGTTCTTCTAGGCATTGGAAGTCCTTGAGAAAAAAGGATCTATGACACAGTGGCTGGTATACAATAGAAATAAGGATTTTGATTGGTGGAAGGGAAGGAATGTGGATGGATAGTGCTTCTTCAGAGGAGGAGAGGTATCATAGAGAATGAGAAGAGGAGAGGAGAGGAGAAAAGAGGAGTAGAGTGGAAAGGAGAAGAGAGGAAGGGCTTGCCAAATGGGACAGCCCAATTACTCAGGTTGTTGTTTGCCCTTCCTTCTCAAAAAGGACCATGGCATCAGGAAGGTGATGCCATACCTTGCAAGTAAATTGGATTTAAATGAGTGAGCGCTGTGCAAATTTACAATCCTCACTTTCTCCATCGCAGCCCCTGGGCCCTTACAAGACACTAAAACTTTGTTTTGAATTGCTTCCTAAAATGTAGAATGTTTGTACGCTGGGGCTGATTTGCAGATTATTTAAAGTTTCCTATGTTTTGCAGATAGGTGATACAATAGACCTGGTGTCAGGAAGAACTAAGTGCAAATCCAGCCTCCGACACTTACTAGTTGTGTGTGACCCTGGGTAAGTCACTCAATCATATTCTGCTTCAGTTTCCTAGTCTGTAAAGTAGAGGTAACAATAGCAAATGACTCTCAGGGTTGTTGTAAGGATAAAATGAGACATCTGTAAAGCACTTTGCAAACCTAAAAGCTCTGTAGAACTGTCAACTGGTAGTTATTGTATGTTATGTGTCATGACCAGATTATTACATGCGCCATAACACTAATTAGAGACTGATCCACAGGGGGAAAAAAAGACTCATTTCTCCTTCCAAATGACTTCCTATATGAGCTTCAACTCAACTGGAACTTTCAGCATTTGGGCGTTTTTTTTTTTGTGAGGCTTCAAAAAGGTTTTGTTCCCAGAGACCTCCCTCATGAATTCATGAAACCTGCTCCCCAGACTCCTACCATTCCATTTCAATTTCCACTTCTTCCTCTAAAAGAAAAAAAATGGGATCTGGTATCTTCCTTATTGACAAAAGAATAGCAAATTCTAATATCTAGTTTTCCTTGTGTACCCAGAAGAGAGAGGCTGAGGATGCAGTGTCACAGGGAAGATGAAGGGGAATATTGGTGTCAGGAGCTAAGCATTAAGCTTGGCAACAACTGAGCTGACAGGTAATACCTTTTGCAATGGGGGTACGGGCAGAGGAGTGAGGCATCACTATGGCGACAGGCAGGCGGCTCCATTAGGAGCTAATGGTTCATTATCAAAAACTGACCATGAAATGCACTAGGGAACACTGACTTCTAGCCCTTCCTTTACTCTCCATGACCTCAAATGAGGGTACCAGGCACACAGTTTGAAAATTACAGCTTTCAAAGGACCAAGATGCACAGAAGCATACACAGGTAATCCCAGAGAGAGAATTTCCCAATCAGGAATTTTATTTTTGGATTATTATCTCCATGTTGATAAGAACACTTTGGATTATAGGCACATCAGAGTCTGGGTAAAAGAGATGTAAATAGCATGAGGGTAAAGACTCTATCAAAAGGAAATGATCTCTTTATGGAGAGATCACTTTGCCCAAAAACAAAATGGTTTTTGAGCTGTTATCTCGGATAAGAAAAAGGAAAGGACGGTCAACCACAAATTGTGGAATCATTCTTGCACTTCGCAACACCATGACAGCTGCAGTGGCACAAGCTGCCTCCGTGCCTTCTTCATTAACTTCCACAAAAGCTTTGTGTACAACCTTGGACAGATACAGGTCACGCCTGGCCGACATCCCAGAAAAGTCAGCCACGGATCCATCAAAGGCATCTGACATCCCCAATTTTTGAAGAATGGACTTCATGTCTAAATCCTCCTCCAATATGAATCTGGGAAGGAAAACTTCCACTTCCATTTCATTCATCATCTCTGGATTTAACCAATCTGCTAATTTCTCAGAAGTAAATCTTTTTCCCAACTAGAAATAAAAATAATCGTATATTATAGTAAGGCCCTCAGGTTTTAATTTAATTAGACAAATATTCCTTAACTATGTGCTAGGAGTGGAGGATCCAAAGGGGGTGAGTCTCTCTCTCTCTCTCTCTCTCTTTTTCTCTCTCTCTCTCTCTCTCTCTCTCTCTCTCACACACACACACACACACACACACACACACACACACACACACACACCATTCAACTACAGATTGATACCTCTCTTTTCTGTACTTTCCTTCAGAGGACCTTAGATTCAGAGTTGAAAGGGACCTTAGAGACTACTCACTATAACTCCCCATTTTACAGATAAGAAAACTGAGGTTGCTTCAGGTCCTACAGGTGGTAAGAGGCTAAGCCAGAATTCCAACCAAGGTCTAGGACCCTAACTCCAAATACAGCCTTCCTTTCCCCTACTTTCCCCACCCTACAACCTTCTCACTTAAAAGAATCCATATCATCTTAGTTTAGCTCAGAAAACAGGTTTCATGTTCTTACTGCCCCCTTTCATTACTACCTTCTAATCTTAAACTTCTTTAGCACTTTGTACCCTTCAAAGCACTTTCACATATTATCTCATTCCCTCTGCACCCCTCATAACAGCCCTTTGAATTATTCCAGACAGAGATTTTTCCCATTTTACAGATGGAGAAACTGGCTCAAAGAAGTTCCATGATTTCCTGGGTAGGCAAAATACTGACTTTTCAATTGGCAAGGCTGCACTCGACATGACTTAATGCTACACTTTTCCTTGTGCTATGTATTTACAAAAATGGAGTGGCTCATAGTCATGACAGGATCTCATCTTGACCAGATTGGGAATCAGTCATTGGACTCTCTGTGATTCTAACATGAGAGCTCTCCTCCAATGAAGCAACCAAAGGCAACCTGTTCTGTGCTTGCTGCTGACCTATTTATTTACCCATACTTCCTTCCTCAAACATGTCTCAAGGTGAAAGTGATTCCAATCACATTTCCAGCTTTCCTCATCTGGTTCCCATTCTGCTCTCTCTGCCCACATCAGCAGGATGTGGAAACCAACTCCCCTTCCCCTCTAGCAAATCAAGACCCTCAAATGTTAATAGAAGCCCTCTGGTTACCTCTAACCCTAGATGGGTCCTATTGCTATAACCTTCCACTGTCAGTCCCTATTCCTAGTGAATTGATCCCTTAAATACCAAAGGCTCCTCCCCTTTACCACTGCCACTACCAAACTCTACATCTTTGTGATATAACACCTACAAAGATGTCAGTGTAACCTCCAGTCATTGATCTAGACATCTAAGACAAGATGATTCATTTTAAAGGACTTGGTTATTATAGCCAAAATTTAGATATTGTACCTGCAGCTCTGAATGAATTTTTAAAAAATTTTCTGGGAGTAGGTATCAACAATAACACTTCTCTCACCATTTTTACATCTGTATTCTCATCTGGAAGCAAAATAACCATGTCCATTTGTCCTCCAACATAAGGCAGAACCAGGATCTTGGTAAACACTTCTCTTATGTAGGTCATGCTAAATGTAGATTTCTGAAACATCATCTGTACTGGTTTCTGCTTCTCCTAAAAGGAGATAAATGAACATGAAACTGAATCCAAGACAATGAAAAGGGGGAAGATGAAATCAATACAACTTACTAAAAAAAGGAGGTGTATTTGTACGGCCTCTATATTACCTCTATAGACTGTAAGCCCTCTGAGGGTATAAATCAATTGTTTACAGAGTGATGCCTTAATCCCCTGGGGCTTGTTTCTTCATTAGGAAATGTGCTACATTTATCTATAGAAAAAATATACCTTTTATCCCTTTGCGTGAAATAGAGCTGCTATTGGCAGACATATATGAATAACAAATCTCTAATAGCAAAGTAGTATTTCCAAGAGTCCCTAAGTTTCCTTTTTCTTTCTTTGGGACTTCTCTTAACTAAGGCATTTAGTGCTCCCCTGTTTTCTTCATCCCCTTCCTCCTATAAGAACAAAGAAGGCTCAAAATTCAGCTAATTCCACAACCAAATATTCAATTAGCCTTCAGTGTGAATGAGTTTCACTCAAATTGCATTTACAGTTTAAGTCTTATCTGACAAGGTAATGAAAAACTTTACCCCCAGTTAAAGGAATTTCACACGTCTGTGTTAGCTATAATTCTAAAAAAAAAACCCTCCAAAACCATTTATCCCACTCAAAATACACTATTTCTACTTACAAGACTTACCAAGCCAGTACTTCTTTTTAAGGTGAACTATTAGGGGAAGTGGAGAGAAGAGACTAGTCCTTATCTTTCCCTATCTCCAAATCCCCATATGTGTACTGTATATTTTCTGAACATTTTACATTAATCCAATTAGTGCTTATTTTTATTGTAGAATTTTTTTCTTTTAAATATTATTTTTTTCAATTACATGCAAAGACAATTTTTAACATTCTTTTTAAATAAAATTTTGAGTTCCAAATTTTCACTCTCTCTCCCTTCCCTCCCTTCTCCCTAAGACAGTAAGCAATTTGATATAGGTTCTGTGGAAGTACCCCTGAGATTAATATGTCTGTTGGCTGTGAGTTAATCTGTGTCCAGTGCACCTGTCCGGTAAGGCAAGACTTTGGCTCACTGCAGGCTCCTGATTGGCTCCTTTTGGCAAAAGGGCTTACTCTGTGTCCAGTGCATCTGCCTGCTATAAGGTAACTCACAGAAAACAGACACGTTAATCTCAGGGGCACTTGCACAATTCTAATTAGTATCTGATGATATTCTGTATCATATTTCATCTTCAACTGATGTCCTAAAACACACCAGCTCATATATTACTTTTACCATTAACAATGAAGTTTCTGACATAACAGTACCTCAATAGAAAAGATTTTCTTTGTTCATAGAACTTAGTTTATTCCCTCCAATGTGAAGAATTTAACAGGTGTGCAAGAGCTAACAGCAAAGCATTTAGATGAATAATGCCTTCTCTGTCTTTCTGTATCTATCTATCTATATATATATGTGTGTGTGTATACATGTATATATCTATATACATACACAAACATATACATATATATCAATATCCTACAAAATCTACCTTTTATTATATCTTTTATTACCTGATGATATTAACTCACATGGATCTCTCTCCTCTAAGTCCTTTTGTACTTATGGTCTGTCCTATAAAATGGGAAGGTTTAATGTCTCTGAGCTGAATGATGTAATTCTTTATTATATCAGAACATATATAGGAAAGATTGAGGGACAGCCCTAGTAGGGAATAAAGAGGATGGAGAGAGGAAGAATAGTTAAGTAAAGAAAAGGAAAAGAGTTAAGTTCAGGGTCTGATAGCAAAGAAAGCAGACTTCTTAGGCCACTGATATACTATTAAGCTTAGATCAAAAGATTAAAGAGGAATATGTCACCTTTTTAAGGAAGCTAGCAAAAGGCTCCTAAAGAAAGAATAACCTGGACAATGGGAGATCAGATAGAAATATCCTGAGGAAAATAACAACTCTTTCCAAAGGGGGTCTTTGCACTTTTCTTGGGTTTGCCTTGCTTGTAAATAATTTCCCACGGATGTCCTCAGTGCCCAGGGCAAAAGTTATTGCCAAACTGGAAAACACAAGTCTAAGAGCATGCTCTCTTTTTCCGTGATTTACCATGGCAAAATTTACAAGAAAACAAATATAACAGAAAAGGTGAGGAAGCTGTCTTCCAGAGGCTATTGTAATAAGAGAGTTTCTAAGGTCTTGAGGTCAGGAAACTGGATGAGCTAACAGGTGAAATGAAGGAAAACTGAGATCTGTAGGATGAAATTCTTTATTATATCAGAATATAGAGAGAAAAGATGGAGGTAGAGCCCTCCTATGGGAGAAGGACAAGGATGGAGGAAGGAAGAACGTTAAGTAAAGAAAAGGAGGTTTAGTTGTGTGTTGTTAGCCCTTTATCTATATCTTAAGAAACAAAGAGAATATGCCGATTCTTTCCCACTGTCCCACTTACCTTGCTGATTTTGAACATCTTTTCTGTTGTCTTGCTTGTGTCAAATTGTTTTTCCCATTTTCCTTTGAAATAGATGGCATTCACAAGTACCAGAGAGGTCAGTGAATTAATGGCATCACCAGCTAGGAGTTCTGCAATCTTACCTGTAAAAAAACACATTAGAGATTAAATCTAGCCTAGATGTAGATATAATCACATCTAAAACAAATGAGGTAACATCCATAAAGCATTTTACAAACTCTAAATAGTCCTAGTTAGCCTCCTCCTCATCATCAGTATCATAACAGTGATTATAAGGTCTGTCAGGAAATACACTAAGCAGGGTTTCAATCTTTACAAATCAGTCAAATATCACTCACCTTCACATAGCGCTGTCTAACAATGATATAATCCGTCCATTAAATGTTACCAAGAAAAATATATACTGAAGTCTTTTCTGTGTTTTGGTGTAGTAGCAAAAATGCCTCGGAATACCATGATCAGCTTGCAAGAAAGAACCATTTCTAACTACACCGCATCCTTTCTTTCACTGAGTTATCTTAAAGAAAAATTCTCTTTACAGCTCCAAAATGTGTTAACATCTAGGATCTCATGTAGATTCACAAAAACCCTATGAAGTTTTTGATGATTCCCCCATGAATAAATAGAGAAATAAATAGAGAATAGAGAATAAATAGAGAATAAACTAGAAAAATGAGGAGACTTGTTCAAGGTCACAGAGGTAGTAAGTGGCAATCTTGGATTGGGTTTTCTGATTCCAAGATTTTTCATTTTTCTGTTGTTGTAGCTTTTTTTCCTTTATACGTTTTCATTTTTTCACTAAATATTTCACAATTACATGCAAATACAATTTTATGTTCATTTTTTAAAGTTTTGAATTCTAAATTCTCTCCCTCCCTCCTCTTCCACCTGCCCCCTCCTTGAAAAGATAAGCAATTTGATGTTGATTATACATGTGAAGTTATGCAAAACATATTTCCATATTACTATGTTACAAAAGAAAACACAGACAAAAAAATAATGAAAATAAACCAAATTTTAAAAGGATGCTCCAATCTGAATTCAAAGTTTCTAAATTCTTCTTGGAGATGGATAACATTTCTCATCATGAATCCTTTGGAACTGTCTTGGATCATTTTCTTGAACACAGTACCTAAGCCTTTCAGAGTTGATCATTGTTATAATATTGCTGTTACTGTGTACAATGTTCTCCTGGTTCTGGTCACTTTGCTTTGTAAGAGTTCATGTAAATTTTTTCAGGTTTCTCTGAAATCATCCTGCTAATCATTAATTGTAGCATAAGGATATTCCATCACAATCATATATCACAACTTGTTCAGTCATTCCCCAATTGAGGGGCAATCCTTCAATTTATAATTTGTTGCTACCACAAAAAGAGCTGAACAAGTTGTGATATATGATTGTGATAGAATATTCAAATTTCATATTTTCATTTCTTGTTTGCTCATAAACTTTTCCTTTATGCATAGATCTGACAGGTACATTTTTCCATGTTCCTCTAATTTGTTTATGATATCACCCTTGAGGTCTAAATCATTTATCCATCTTGATCTTATCTTAATATACACTATGAGATGTTGGTCTCTGCATAGTTTCTTCCAAACTGCTTTCTAGTTTCCCCAGAATTTTTTGTCAAATGGTTAGTTCTTACTCCAAAAACTTGGATCTTTGGGTTTATCAAACAAGATTACTGTGTTCATTTACTATCTATTGTGTATCTAATTTATTCCATTGATCCATCACTCTATTTCTTACCCAGTACCAGATTGTTTTCATGATCACTGCTTTAGAAATACAGTTTGAAATCAGGCACTGCTAGGCCTTCTTCCTTCATGTTTTTTTTTTCATTGATTCCCCTAATATTCTTGACCTTTTGTTCATTCACATGATTTTTTTGATTTTTTTTTCTAGTTCTATAAAATAATTCTCTGATAGTTCATTTGGGATGACACTGAATAAGTAAATTAACTTAGATAGAATTGTCATTTTTATTATATTGACTCAGCCTACCCATGAGCAATTAGTATTTCTCCAATTATTTAGAACTGCCTTTAAGTAAAATGTTTTGTAACTGTATTCATATAGTTCCAAGATTTGTCTTGGCAGATAGACTCCCAAGTATTTTATATTGTCTGCAGTTATTTTAAATGGAATTTATCTTTCTATCTTTTTCACCTGGATTTTGTTGGGAGAATAGAAAAATGTTGCGAGTTATGTAGGTTTATTTTTTAATCCTGCAACTTTGCTAAAGATGTTCATTGTTACAATTAGTTTTTTAGCTGATTTTCTAGGATTCTTTATCATGTGCAAAGAATAATGGTTTTGTTTGGAGTAATAGTTTTGTTTCCTCAATGCCCATTTTCATTCCTTCAATTTCATTTTTTTCTTTTCTTATTGCTATAGCTAGCATTTCTAATACACTATGGAATAATTGTGCTGATGATGGATGTCCTTGCTTCACCTCAATCATATTGGGAAGGCTTCAAGTTTATCCCTGTGATAATGCTTGCTTTTGGTTTTAGATAGATATTATTTATCATTTTAAGAAAGACTCCATTGATTCCCACATTTTCTAGTGTTTTTAATAGGAATGGGTGTGGCATTTTATCAAAAGCCTTTTCTGCATCTATTGAGATAATCATATTTTTTTTGGTTTTGTTATTGATATGGTGAATTACATAGTTCTCCTAATATCAAACCAGTCCTGCATTCTCATCTGGTCATAAAATGTATACTTTAAGATATATTGCTATAACCTCCTTGATAGTATTTTATTTAAAATTTTTGCATCAATATCCATTAGGAAAATTGGTCAGTATTTTTTGGTGCCTCATTTACCAACCTGTTATCTTTTCATGATTTTATTCCTTTGCTTTCATTTCTCTGCCCAAGTTTTCCTCTAATAATTTTGAAAATCATTCCTTAGCTCTTCCAGGAATTTTTTTGGGATTATATTAAATTCTTTTTTTTTTGTTTTGTTTTGCTCATAGCTGTTTTGACTTCATTGTCTTCTGAATTTGTATCTTGATTTTCCTTATCACCGCAGTAGCCTTTTATAATAGGGTTGTTTTTTGCTTATTTTCCATCCTTGATTTTAAATTTTAAGTTAAAGCTAGGCTCTGTTGCCAGCATGATCGGAAGGGGCACCGTCGCAAGCTTCAGACTTTTTTGTACTGCTGTTTTCAGAGCAAGCTCAGAGGTTTGGAAGTTTTCATACTTTCAGGATGGTATGATCTGGGGAGAGGTGTGGTTACTTCTCCCCTGGTCTGCACTCTGCAAAGGCTCCTGATTCCTGGGGACTGCAATCAATACTGCTCTTCAGTACCCCTGCTCTCTTGAGAGCAGAAACAATATTATTCCTCAGAGCCCCTGAGCCTTGGAACCAGAAGTGATACTGCTCCCCAGGGCTCTTGCTCCCTCTTGACTGAAAGTGCTGCTGCTCATCCTGAGATATGGCCCAGCTATGGCCCTGAGCTATGGTATATGGCAATACCAGAAGTGGGTATAGGCAATGAAGCTGTTCAAACAGCAACTGGCTCTGCATCTAGCGCTATCACAGGGGTCCCCTAGTGTCTCTTTCTGACCAGTTGCCAGGTCCCCTTACCATTTCAGGCTTGAGAGCTCCTGAAGCTGCTGATGCTTCTGTCACCACCACCTAGTCTACCACTAAATCGTGGGCTCTGGTTCAGCCTCCATCCCCATGTCACAATCTCTCTTTCCATCCTCTTAAGTTATCTTGGGTTGGAAGAATGTCTTACTCTTACCTTTTGTTGGCTCCGCCACTCCAGAGTTTGATTTGAGGCATTATTTTAAAGTTGTTATAGGAAAACGTTGGGAGGGCCAAGCTGAGGGCTTTCTCTACTCTGCCATCTTGACTCCACCCCCAGAAGTTCCCAAGCCTTCTTTCTACTATACCATATGTTGAAAGAAACACTTTATTATCATAAAAACAATTCTCTGAGGTCCCACAAAGTACATGGCCCTGAATTTATAGAACATTTTATCTGTAATTTATAGGAAAGTGAAAATGAGTCAACTTAAATATAGTAATCAGAATAAAATATGTACAGCATGAATAATAGATATATGTAAATACAAATATTTAAAAGACACAGAAGGACAGCAGAATATGGTTCTACATGGCCTTGAATGAGGACATTGTTGGGGTTGATGGGAAACTGTAGGCAGCACCATTAAATGAGAAGCCTCAGACTCCTAGGACTGGAATGTTTATTTGAGCCATCCAACCAAAGGAGGAATAGATTGTGGTTGTGATTCATTCTACAGACTGATTACTATATTTGGAAGCATTATTGATACTGTGGATATTGAAAATCAGGAGAAAGACAAAATTTAATAACATTTAGTGGAGAGATTTTTGCATCCTCTTTAGCTGCTTAGAAAATCAGTCCCTTTTCATACTTTGCAAAAGAGCTCTCAAAATCATTAGCCACCATCTCTCAAAGAGCCAAAAAGAAACTCCATGACTTCTTACCTTCTGTCTTTTCTTCGACCCACGTATTTATATGCGTTCTTGCTTCCTCAGGAGCGTTTGCAAAGTCAAGTTCTTCCATGTTGGAATGGTAGAATCTCTGACAGGATTCCTTAAAAGACTGAACAATAGGATAAACAATACAACCAGGTATCACAAGTCTAAAACTAAATGTCACCAATGCACAGCCAGGAAATTTTGGACCCCTTCTTCATAAGAGTCATAAACATGTTACAGATCACCACAGATTGACCCCAAATCTTTATGTTCCACTTGGATGAACTTAAGTCTTTAACCTAAGGAAGCTAATGACTTAAAAATTAGACATCAGGACTTCTTATATCCCTTTAAGTTTTGTTAGCACGAAAAAGATTACTTAAAAAGCAATGATTATGGGAGCAGAGTCAAGATGGTGGAGGGAAAGCAGTGACTTCCTTGAGCTCTCCGCCCAAACCCCATAAATACCTATGAAAAATGGCTCTAAACAAATTCTAAAGCAGCAGAACCCACAAAAAGACAGAGTGAAACAAATTTCCAGCCAAAGACAGCCTGGATGGTTGATTGGAAAGGTATATTGCGCGAGGAGTGGAGAAAAGCGTAGTTTGGCGTGGGCACACAGGCCGACGTGACCCTGGAGCAGGCCTCAGAGGACTGAATCGCGGGCAGCTGTGGCAGTTTCCAGACTTCTCAACCCATGAATACCAAAGACAACTTGGAAGGTCAGTGGGAAAAGTCTGTGGCTGTGGTGCGAGAGGAGCTAGGTCTCAGCCTCAAGTCTCGAGCGTGGCCCAGGGCTGCAGCTATTTCCTGAGCTTCCAGCCCATAGACTGAGGGGAATCTAGTGGCTGATCCCAGAGGGATTGCAGGGTTCTCTTTGCCAGTGCTGAGGCAGGAATCTCTTGCTTTACCAGTGCTTGGATGTAGGTCACAGTTCTAAGGGGCGGTCCTGGGGCGAGGAGGAATGCTGGTGCATTGGAGCTTGTTGTGGTGGTGGAGAGGAAACACCTCACCCCTTATCATAGCACCTTGGAAGAAATGAAAATTTTCAGATCCCTAGAAGTATCTCTGAAAACAGCTGCACAAACCCCTGAAGCTTGGGACAGTACACTCTTCACAATGGAAGCAGACTTTTACCTTAACAAAGAGTTTAAAACTCAAGTAATTGGCCGGGATCATGAGTAAGCAGTGCAAAAAGAGTCAGACTATTTTATCTTACTTTGGTGATAAAGAAGATCAAAACATACAACCAGAAGAAGACAACGAAGCCAAAGCTCCTACATCCAAAGCCTCTAAGAAAAATATGAATCAGTCCCAGGCCTTGGAAGAGCTCAAAAGGGATTTTGAGAAGCAAGTAAGAGAAGTAGAGGAAAAACTGAGAGTGATGCAAGAAAATCATGAAAAACAAGTCAACAGCTTACTAAAGGAGACCCAAAAAAATACTGAAGAAAATAACACCTTAAAAAATAGCCTAACCCAAATGGCAAAAGAGGTCCAAAAAGCCAATGAGGAGAAGAATGCCCTAAAAAAGCAAAATTGGTCAAATGGAAAGGGAAGTCCAAAAGATTACTGAAGAAAATACTTCCTTAAAAATTAGAATAGAGCAATTAGAAGTTAGTGACTTTATGAGAAATCAAGACACTGTAAAGCAAATTCAAAAGAATGAAAAATTAGAAAACAATGTGAAATATCTCCTTGGAAAAACAACTGATCTGGAAAATAGATCCAGGAGAGAGAATTTAAAAATTATTGGACTATCTAAAGCCATGATCAAAAAAAGAGCCTAGACATCATCTTCCAAGAAATTATCAAGGAAAACTGTCCTGATATTTTAGAACCAGAGGGCAAAATAGAAATTGAAAGAATCCACCAATCTCCTCCCGAAAGAGATCCCCAAAGGAAAACTCCTAGGAATATTGCAGCCAAATTCCAGAGTTCCCAGGTCAAGGAAAAAATATTACAAGCAGCCAGAAAGAAACAATTCAAGTATTACAGAAACACAATCAGGATAACACAAGATTTAGCAGCTTCTACATTAAGGGACCGCAGGGCATGGAATATAATATTCCAGAGAGCAAAGGAGACAGGATTACAACCAGGAATCACCTACCCAGCAAAACTGAGTATGATCCTGCAGGGGAAAAAATGGTCATTCAGTGAAATAGAAGACTTTCAAGCACTCGTGATGAAAAGACCAGAGCTGAATAGAAAATTTGATTTTCAAATACAAGACTCAAGTAGAACATGAAGAGGTAAACAGGAAAGAGAAAATCATAAGAGACTTATTAAGGTTGAACTGTTTATATTTCTGCATGGAAAGATGATATTTATAACTCATGAGACCTTTGTCAGTATTAGGGTAGTTGGAGGGGAAAAATTATATGTATGTATATATAGATATAGATAGATAGATAGAGGGCACAGGGTGAGTTGAAAATGAAGGGGTCATATCTGGAGAATAAAATTAAGGGGTGAGAGAGGATTATACTAGGAGAAGGAGAAAGGGAGAGGTAGAATGGGGTAAATTATCTCACAAAAAAAACAGAAAAGAGAAGGCTCTTACAATGGAGGGGAAACAGGGGAAGGTGAGAGGGAATGAGTGAATCTTATTCTCATAGGATTTGACTTAAGGAGGGAATAACATACACACTCAATTGGGTATGGAAATCTGTCTTACCCTACAGGAAAATGGGGGGGGGGAACAAGAGAGTAGGGGGATGATAGAGAAGAGGGCAGATTGGGAAAGGGGATAATCAGAAGCAAATACATCTGAGGAGGGACAGGGTCAAAAGAAAGAATAGAATAAATGGGGGGGGCAGGATAGGATTAAGGGAAATAGAGGTAGTTTTTCACAGAGTGTCTTCTATGGAAGTGTTTTGCATAACTGCACATATATAACCTATACTTAGTTGCCTGCCTTATCAATGAAGGTGGGTGGGGAGGGAGGAAGGGAGAAAATTTGGAACCCAAAGTTTTAAAAACACATGTTTAAAAAAAAAATGTTTTCACATGCAACTGGGAAATAAGAAATACAGGAAATGGGGTACAGAAATCCATCCTGCCCTATAGGAAAATAGAAGGGGAAGGGGATAAGAGAAGAGGTGGAGAGATAGAAGGGAAGGCAGACTAGGGTGAGGGGTATTCAAAATGCATGCCATCTTGGGGTAGGGGGAGGGGCGAGATGGGGTGAAAATTTGGAACTCAAAATCTTGTGGAAGTAAATGTTGAAAACAAAAAAAAAAATAAAAATTACCATAAAAAAAAACAAAATAAAGCAATGATTATGGTTAGGATGCACAAAGGAAAACTAATGACGTGCCAACTTCCTCAATCAAGAAATTGTTAATTTAAGGTCAACAATCAGAATGAGATGATTAATTCAGGCACTTATTTTCTATAGAATCACAGGATCACAAATTTAGACCTAGAAGACTTTAGACTTCTAGTCTAACCCTTCCTTTTTTATGGAGGAGAAAACTAAGGCCCAGTGAGATGCCTTGTCTAGACAGCAAATAGCAGAGATGAGATTCGAACTCTGATAGTGCTGTGTCCACTGAACCATGTGGTTAATCCTTAAAAATTATGGAAATGATACATTCTGGGGGTGAGCAACTTTTTCAAATAGCTCAACCTGAATTTTTATTAATATGGCAACAGATGAGATACAACTGCCATCTGAGGCCTTCATCTCTCTTAAACTTGAAAATTTCATTGATTTCCATAAGTTGATACAGGAAGAAATAATAGACAAGACTTACTAAGAAAAAATCAAAAGTCTTTTCTCCAAAGAGTCGGTTGGCAATTCTTAGCAGGCACTGACTACCAGATTTATTAGCTTCTGCAAGAAAAGACTGGAAACCTTGGTGGACATCTGCACTTTTGTTTAAAGAAAGAACCTGTTTAGAAAAAAAAAAAAAGCACAGTTCAGTACTGTCTTCTTTTCTTTAAAAACAAAAAACAAAATCAAATCCTCAAAGGAAAATCAACTGAGAGTTCTATAGAGACTAGGGGAATTTAAAAATAAGATTTGAAGATGTCACTCACCTATTCTATAAGCTCCAACAGCCTTTGCCTTTAGGAATGAATACAAACCTTCTGAGTTCAACATTTAAAGCCCTTCACAACCTGATTCCAACTTACCTTTCCAGATGTATTACACATTATTGCATTTCTTAACTCCCCCTGCTCCCCTGCTCTCCCCTACTCCCTCTCCCCAGCTACCTAAGCTGCTCTTCCTGTTATTCTTCATAGCAAGGTAAGAAGGTAAGATTATTCTGCATTTGTAACCTCAGGGACATTTCTACCCAGAATGTCTACTGTGCATAGCACAGAGCGGTTAGGCCACCAACATGTTCTATTCCATTTCCCCTCACTCTCTATTGCTGCACTATTGACAAAGCTCTCCTTTTGTGACCCGCTCCTCTCGGTGCTTCATACGGTATGATTTTTTTTTCATTTTGTATGTTTGTTTTTTCTCAGTCCCAAGTACCTGTCGTATCTGTGCGGCAGTATTTCCCTTGGCCCCATCTAAGACCATAGCGAAGGCACAGTAGAGGCTCAAGGGAGAATAAAACACATTCCGTGAGGCATCTTCATCACTAATTTTTTTAAAAACATTCAAGGTAAAGGTGTTGGTTGCTTCAGAGAGAGCAGCCATCATAGTATGCCTAGAATAAGAAGACAAAGAAATATACTACATGAATATGAGACACTTCTGTGTGTATTAATCTACTCCATATTGAATCTAGATCATCACCAATTGTACCTCTTCAATAACAATAGAGTGCATTTATATAGTACTTTCATGTTTATAAAGCACTTCATATGTTAACTGAGTCGATTCTCAAAACAACCCTACAAGATAGGTGCTATTATTATATTCATTTTATAGATGAGGAAACTGAGGCAAAAAGAGGTGAACTGACTTTCCCAGAGTCACACAGCTAGTAAAGATCTAAGGCTGGATTTGAACTCAAGTCTTCCTGACTCCAATTCCAGCACTCTATCCACTGCACTGATGGGGTGCTTGGCTGCTTGTGCTTGTACTTGGATCTCAATTTCTCCCTAGTCTCAGAAACACTGCCTCTGACAACCACTCCCCAGCCCAAGGACACCGTGCCTAGCAGTTATTCATGCATGGGCCCCAGCACGACCCTTATCTCTCTCCCTGGTGCAGTTACACAAAAGCTGGGTGACAGAGTGCTGGGCTGCTCAGGCCCCAGCCCTCAGATCATGTCTTTGGAAGCCTCCCAATTTCTTAGTAAGTTCCTGTCTTGTGAGAAAGCTTTCCCTTGTTGCAGAGCATTCTCTCATCAAGACAGACGGAGAGGGGAGCCTTGCCCAGCCCAAGGAGTTTTGTCCTTGGCCGGCCCAAGGACTCTTCCTCCTGCCAGACTCCAAAGATCCACACCTCTGTCATCTCCCTCCCTGTCTGGTATACTCCTTATACTTTCTCATCCATAGCTCCCAAAGACACCTGCACCTTTAGATTACCTCATCAGTGTCCCTGGCATTCCTTTCCCATGCCCTTTTCCATATAAACCCTAGCTCCATCCTCAGTCTCTTGCAGGTTCCTTAAGAATCCTTGCCCGCTGAAAAGCGTAACAATAAATCTTTGCCACTTTGACTTAAAAAATACTTGAGTCTGTGAATTCATTCCAGACGACCCCTTCCTGTACTCCAGTCTTTGAGGGGTCTCAACCTCTTAGACCGCAACAGCACAAGGGAAAGCTTTCTCACAAGCTGCCTCCCTAAATGAACAAAATAATAAACAAATAAAAAACTATGGCACTGAAGAAAAGCAGATTAAACTCAGTTTGGCTGATTATTATTATCATCATTATAACTCATATTTAGAAGGTGCTTTGATGTTTACAACAGACATTCCTATCAATTTCTTGCTCCTCAAATGGAAATATGACTAATTAATAAGATTTCTTTCTGGTCTCCTAAATAAGCCATCTGCTTCCCTGTTTCCGTGCATGTGCTCCTGATGTTTGGACTTGTTGCCTAGAATGCCCTTCATGCCACCTACATATATCCTACCTTTCTGTCAAAGCTCATTTCAAATGCCACCTTTACCACAAAGCTTCACCAATCACCTTAGTCAACAATGGCATGAACTCCTACAACAATTACCTGGACAACTACCTGCAACAATTGCCTGGATCAGTCATCTGACTCTAATCCCAGAATCCTTTGTCTAGTCATTACTTGTGCAAGTCCTACTTATCTAAGATCTCTTCTTGAAAGATAAGGGCTGTTTCTTATCTGGCAAGTGAGGCAATGGGATTATTTGTCCAAGAGAGCTAGGGACCAAGAGTACTGTGGGAATTGGGCAGATATTTTAATGTGGGTCAACATATGGAAGAGTGGCAAAAAGAAAGACAGAAAAGAAAGGATTTAGAATGTTTTGTTGATCTGGCAGAAAGAAGGCAAGCTCAGAAAGTCATATGATATAAAAGAAGAACAAGCATGAACCACAGATCTAGGCAGGCATAAGGGTGGAGAACAGACAAGTCAAAAGCAGAGAAACAGGATTAAGGTCAGATTAAGGTTTGAGACTAGAGTATTAGACAGTCTATAGGAGTCTCAATAGTCAACAGGATTAGTGACTTCTGATCCTAGCAAAGAGGCTACTTGCTCCCTGTACGGTTGGGTATGAGTGGCCCTGGGCTACATTAGGTGTAGATATGGAAGCCAAAGACAGATGTGGAATTTGCCCCTCTTCAGAATCAGTGTAATTCCTGGGATAAGTCACACCTTCTACAGCATCTATGTCAGCACTAAGCCATGGTTCCCAATCACAGAATCAAAGAAGATATAAGCTGGAAGAGACTTCAAAAGCTGTCCAATCAAACTCATATTTAAAAAGTGGTCATTTCGCAAGAGTGAATGCATTACCTCTCATAGCAAAACATTCTAATTTTAGATAGTTCCAATTGTTAGGAACCTTTTTTTATCTCAAGCCTAAATCTACTTCTCTGTGACTTCTACTCTTTGCTCTGAGTTCTGCCCTCTGAGGCCAGGCAAATTTTAATCATTCTTCCACACTATCAATACTTTTTCAATACTTGAAGATAGCTATACTGTGCCTACTAACTTCTCTCTTCCAAGGTGAACATCCTTAGTTTCTTCAACTATTTCTTTTGCCATCCAGTTCACCCTCCTCTGGATATGCAGATGTAGTACTCAGAACCAGTGACAGAACTCTAGATGTAACTTGACCACAGCAGGAATGCCACAGCATACTAGTAGGATAGTTTCAGGGTCACAAGAAGTGGCTTCAAATCCCAACTCTATATTTACTATCAGTGTAGCCTTGCATAAGTTGCTTAATCTCTCTAGACCTCAATTTCCTTGTCTTTAAAATGAGGAGGGTTGGACAAGATGATCTCCAAGGTGTAGCTGCAAGTCTATGAATTGTTACTGCCCTCATATTTACTGCCATGCCTCTCCAAATGCAGCCTGGGCTTATATTAGGTTTTCTGTTGTTTTGTCATATTGGTGATTCATACTGAACTTTCTATCTACAAAACCCCTCAGATTTGTTTCATGGAACCATTGATTAGTTCTATAACCTTTGTATCGGTGAATTTGATTTCTTGGACTGATGGTAAATGACATAACAAGTATTATTAAAAGGAAGTTGGTGCAAGAAAGAAAGAAAGAAAGAAAGAAAGAAAGAAAGAAAGAAAGAAAG